TATACGACAGAGTAGAACTGCCCCATAGGGGTTCCAAGGAGCAGCTGGTGGATTCGAACTGCCGACCTTTTGGTTAGCAGCCTGAGCTCTTAACGACTGCACCATCATGGCTCCCACAGGGAAAGAAACTGGTCCATTATTACTCAGTGTGTAAAATCATAAGAACGTTCAAAGGAACCCGTACCTTCAGGATGCTGATTCCATGGATGGCCCGTTAGTAGTTGGGGTTAGGACTGGAACAGATCACTCATTCAGCAAACATGTATTTTAGTGATGTTCAAAATGTGTCCATTGACTGTTGGCATCAGAAGCACTTGGGGTGCTATTAAAATGCAGATTTATGGGCCTCACCCCACTCCTGTTGAATCCAACTATCTCCATAGGGAGCTCAAGAGACTGCATTTCAAACAAACTCCCCACTGAAGGTTGAGAACCACTGATACTATTAAGTATCTTCTGTGCTCATTGTGCATCCAGTCCAGTTGATTCTGACTCATGGCAACCCCATGTGTGTCAGAGAACTGTACTCCATAGGGTTTTCAATGGCTAATTTTTTTGAAGTAGATTGCCAGAACTTTCTTCAGGGGTATGTCTGCGTGGACTTGAATCTCCAACCTTTCAGTTAGCAGTTGAGCACATTAACTGTTTTTGCACTGCTCAGAGAATCCTCATTGTGCTTGTTGTTAGTTACCATCGAGTTGATACCATCTCATGGCGATCCCATGTGTGCAGAGTAGAACTACATTCCATAGGGTTTTCCAGGCTGGGACCCTTCAGAAGCAGATGGCCAGGCCTTACTTCAGAGGCATCTATGGGTGGGTTTGAACCACCAAACTTTCAGTTAACTTAACCATTTGCGCCACCCAGGAACTCCACATTGTGCTTCATCCACTCAAATTCTCTTGCCCAGGACTTCTGAAATTTGAGACTAAGTATATGCCCTTGACTATAAAAGTTATTAAAATGGAGACTAGTGTAAATTTGTGAAGGGCCATACATTTTTATCTATTCATTGGCTGATCTGGAGCATATAGGGAGAGGAAAAAGCATTGAACTTTGCATTGAGACTTTCCACTTACTGATGTAATATGTAAACATTTGCAGCCACAAATTAGGATTTGCTAAAAATGTCATATTTCTTCATTTAAATGAAATTAAACACAACTCTTGAACCCCATAATGCCAGAGTGGTAGATTTAACAGATGTTATTATTCGGACTTTTCACAGAGGTCCTAGAGTCTAACCCAGAGCAAAACATTCATAAGAGCTCCATTCTGGGGCTCCTTTTTTTTTTTAAACCTCACCATTTTCTGTTAAGATGCTATTGGCCAAGTCCTCATGGTCTCCTGAAGCGGCAAATGTCTATTCACATATCAAACTTGGGGCACAGGAACCTTCCAACCCTGGATCCTAGTGCCATGGGTCCAGGCTCTGTTCTACCACATAGCTATTTCCTGCAAAGTCTTCTGTGCCAGGTGCAGTATCCCTCTTTCTGATTTTCTCTTACTACTCTCCAGGACAGTCCCTGCTCTCTCCTACCTCTCCAGGAAACTCAACATAGTCTCCAAAATGAGCTTAAGCTTTCATGAGAGTCAGAGGATAGAGACAGTTGTCAGCAAGCAGTTACTGATTTCCACCTCCTCATCCCCTAGCTGAAATGCTGGAGCAAGGAGAACTACAAAGGGCCTGGTGACCTTCTTGGAGTGGGGAGAGGGGAATACTGTAAGGAGGAAAAAAAAAATCTCAGTAAATTATCCTTCTACACTAAGTCCTAATGCAAGTCAGCCTTTCTGAACCTCAGTTTTCTCATCTGTAAAAAGAGAGGGTTATTATCCTACCAATTTCTCAAGGTTATTATATGAATCAAAAAAAGCCATTGTCTAGCAGAGAACAAGAGCTCAGTAAAAGTTGAGTTAATCATTAACATAAGTGTGTGAAAGCATATGACATAGTACCTTTCACATTACTAGACTCTGTCACATTTGTTTTTTAATCTGAATCTGTAAAATGATAAGGTTTTAATTAATACTAATGTCATTCGCTATTATGGTTTTGGAATTTTGTGTTTTCCAGGACATCAAGATGGCAACATACACTCATGGTCAGCCCAGGTCTTTTCTAGAAGATGCAAAATTCAGAAGACCAACAGTCACTGAAATTATAGAAAAAAAATTGGAATATCTTAGAAAAGAAAAGTAAGAGACACACCCAGACTGAAAAATCAATAACTATTTACCGATCTTCTGTATTGCTGTTGTTTCTGAGGAGTACCTAAGATCCTATTGTGGTAACTTCGTTGAGTTGGCTATGAAGAAAGTTATTTAGAAAAAATAAAAAAGAACTGGAGGGAAAAATGGACAGATGAAAACAGCGGTTTGTTGGAATATTGGAATTGTGGATAATTTCTTTTGCTTCTTAAAAAATTTCCAAAATGTTGAAACGTTATTTGAGCAATAAATATTTTTTAATTAAAAATAAGTAGGAGAAAACCATTTGTAGGGTATATTTAATTCATGATCAATTATAATTAATTAAAATCAGTTCAGGATTGATTACTGCAGCCTCAGTACTGGGTACAGCAAAAAAGAAATACAGATGCCATGATGAACATATAGACTCATATACCATTTCAACTTTTAGATTAATAAAGCTCAAGAATAAAATCAAATGAGTTGATCCTATAGAAGTTTCTGAATTTAGGTATGAGGTCACAATAAGTAAAACTAGGTCTATCAGATCTCTTTGGATGAAGTTTTAGAAATCTTGGAAAAATTATTTTAATGTATCTGGACTCACTAAGAAATAGATGTTTTCTAGAAGGCCTAACCAAATGTAAATAGCTTTTTTCTGATGATCTTATGCAAATTAATTATATTAGTAGCAGGAGCAGTATTTTTGGATTTAAGCATCTCATAAAATTTGGCTACATTAGAACTTATTTAGGTCCCTGGTTTGCAGTTGACTACTTACTAACCTAAAAGTTGGTGATTCAAACCCATCCAGCAGCACCATGGAAGAAAGGCCTGGAGATCTGCTTCTGTAAAGATTATAACCAAGAAAACCCTGTGGAACAGCAGTTCTACTTGTAACACATGGGGTTGCCGTGGACTCGGAATCAACTCGACAGTAACTTAGAACAACAGCAGAATTTATTTATATTTATTTGTGGCCAGAATTGTTAGCTGGTGTGGAATCGACCCCTGTCTCATGGTGACTCCATGCACAACTGAATGAAATGCTGCCTGGTCCTGCACCATTCCCAGGATCGAGTGCGGATCAGATCATTGTGATCCATAGGGTTTTCATAGGCTGACTTTCAGAAGTAGATCACCAGGCCTTTCTTCCTACTCCATCTTAGTCAGGAAGCTCTGCTGAAAGCTGTTCAGCAGCAGCAACACGCAATCCTCTACTGACAGACGGGTGGTGACTGAACATGAGGTGCGTTGGCTGCAAATCCAACTCAGATATCCTGCATGTAAGATGAGAAATTTACCTCTGAATCACCAATGTATTGGCCAGAATTTATTCTCTTTAAAAGAGCTCCATTTCAGAATGACCTTAAATAATCTCAGAAAGAGAATTATATCTTATTAGAATGCAGGCTCCATGAGGGTAGGAGTTTTTTTTTTTTTTCTTCCTTTGTTCACTGCCCCATCCTCAGCACTTAAAAAATACCTTTCATATAATAAGTGTTCAAGAAGTACTTGATATTGAGTAAATACGTAATAACAAATGACCAAGGAAAAGATGCATCCATTAGGAGGATATTATGATGAATTTAATTTTTCCTGTTTTGTTATTTTTCTTAGTAAGAACTTAAATATATATGGATCAGTGTTTTATGGAACAACAGCTGGTTTCTCTGGAATATTAGCAAACTTCATTTTCAGATACTGCTTCAAGGTTAAACATGATGCTTTGAAGACCTATGCATCGTTGACTACACTTCCGTTTCTGTCTACTATAGTTACTTACAAACTCTTTGTAACTGATGCTTTGTATTCAGGTAAATTTAAATTTACTAATGTTTAATGTGGTTATATCTAAGTAAAGTTATTCATTAATACAGTGAAACCTGTGAGAGCTGGAACTCAATAGGACTGCCTTGTTTTTCCAGATCTTACAGTTTTCCACCTTTGACAGGTTGCAGTCTTACCACTTTTCTAACTTCTTAGTGGAAAATATTTTAGTTTTCCTTTTCTGACAGGTTTCTGCCTTATACCGGTTCTGGCTTTTGCAGGTTTCACAGTCTATACTGTTCCTAGTGCTGATAATAATCCCTTACATTTGTATATTTACCACTTACAAAGTACTTTCACATATTTTATCCTATTTGATCCTCACAATAATCCTCCGGATTAGGCAAGACAAGTACTGTTGTCCATTTTTTACAGATTTTTACAATTAAGCAAACATGTTCCAGTACACTAAGCAGCAGCATAATATACTGGGAAAAGAGCAGGTTTTGGTATCCTACACACATGGTTTCTGATCCTACTTCCCACCACTTAAGTTTTGTGACATAAGGCAAGTCATTTAATCTTTGAGCCTCAATTGTCTTATCTATGAATTAAAACTAATAGTACTTCCTCACAGGGTATTGTGAGAATTACGAGATACTGTACATTAAATGCCTAACACCGTATCTGGCATATTATGAGTTTCTAATAAATGTTATTTCCTACCTTTTTCTCTTACTTGTGTTTCACAACTAGCAATTGATGGAGACTCTGACCCTTGTTCATTCTTCAGGTCCCTGGTTAAATATCTCTTCCTCAGAGGAACCTTCTCTGATTCCCTCAGCGTAGGTGAAGTTTCTAGGTATACTCTCTATACACTACCTTCAGTACACTGTGCACACTTAAAATTATTTATTTAAATATTTGTTTTATGTCTTTCTTCCCTGGTAGACTGACCAGAAGGTCTTCTGTGCACCTAGCACCCATCACATACTGGACACATAGCAGACAATAAAATGTATTAATCTAGAATTCAGGTGTCTAGACTGCTACTTTAGTATTCTTTCATTATCATATTGCTTCTGCAACAACCAAATATGTAAGAAGTAATTCTCCTTAGAAGACAGTCTAATAAAAGCATATTAAAAACTTGATGCATTTAGCCTATTATGTGCCATAGACTTTAAATTTCCAATATTCTTTCTGCTGTTTCACAGGGGTTAAAGACAGTGCAGATAACTACTATGTGCTGCACAAGACTGTCATTTTAATTCTTATCCTGAGTTTTAAAAGAAGACCAAATTTACTTTTTGTTTTCCAGGTAATATAAGCCAGGAGAATTGTGTTGTGAGAAGTTCACTGGTTGGCTTAGTATGCGGTGTTCTATATCCCAGTGCTTTGGCTTTTTCCAAAAATGGACGCCTGGCAGCCAAGTAAGTCTGTCCGTTCATGTTTCTCTCTCTCTCCGTGTCTCTCCCTCTCCCCCATGCCCCTCTGCCCCCTGCCTCTTTCCGTTTCTCCTCTTTACCCTCTCCCCTCCCACTTCGTCTCCCTCTTTCCTTCCTTACCTGTCTTCTTTCCGCCTACCCTTCCTTTCTTCTTTTATTTTAGGTTAATAAACTCTCCTTATTCTTTAGCTATCAGTGACATATTTTAACTAAAATATAATCATTTAATATTTCAAATAGCTAACTTTTAACTTTTTTACTAACTACATGATACATCTAGAATAGAAATTAATTATCGGTTTAGGAGAAATCCATGAACTTTTTGCAGAATATTTGTCCAGGAAAAGTGATCAAACTCATTTTCCTTTTTAGGTATCATACTGTTACACTGCCACCAAAAGGAAGGGTTTTACTCCACTGGCTGCTGCTTTGTCAAACAGAGGTGAAAGCAATGGCATTTCCTCTAGTCTTTCAAATGCTCATTGGAATACTTAATGGTCTGCAGCATTATGCAGTGTTTGAAAGTACTCTGGAGAAGAAGACTTTACATGAAGATTAACCAACAAATGGATGGATGCTAAAATCAGCAGAATGGATTTCTTTATGATGAGGACTTAGGTAGTGCTGAAAGAGTTAAAAGTAACTCTGGACAGGCAACTTGTTTCTATCCATTCTGCCTGGTATATAACAGGTACTCAATAAATACTCAGTAATTCAATAAATGTTAAATTTCATCTTTCCTTGTATATATAAGTTTGGGGCCTCAAGGTCTGATCTATCCATTTATATATTCGTTCATTCATCAAACCTTTACTGAACACCTGCTATGCCTCAAGCACTTTGTTAACATGTAGTAAGAAATGGTCTTTACCCAGAAGGAACTTACGAGAAGAGGAGTAAGAAACATAGTATGAGAGGGTTTGAGAGGTATACACATAATTCTGTGGGGGTATTGAGAATGTGATTATTAACTACTGAGGCAGAAAGGGAGGCTATGGGAGAAAAAAGTGACATTTTCAATAAATTTTGAAGGAGGAGTTGGAAGTTCATAAGAAAGCAAGGGATGGAAATGACATACAGCCCACTCCTCTATGCTAACTGTGATTCTAGTTTCTTCTACAAATTGTCTTTATTGTGCTATTTTAAAAAATATTTATCAAATGTTTATTTGCCATGCATTAAGATAGACACCAGGGATACAAATTTATTAGTCTTTCCCCTCAAGATTAAAATCTAAATAAAGAGCTCACAGTATGCTTTTTAAGAGTCTGCTGTGTCATCCCTGAGCTACATATTTATCTTATTTCAGGAAGTGAACACTGACAATAAAAATAAGTTACAGAATGGAACCTCAGAGCTCATTCTCCCTGTCCTAACCATATTCACCTTGAGATTAAAGACTTGCTCATCTGAGGCCCCAAGCAATTCAAAGCAGAGGTGGAAGTCTTAACAAGGCATTTTATGACATCACAAACCCTCTTGCTAATCAAAACAATGGCTAGTTAGCTGTCCTGCTCTATGTTCTCAGAATAATTCATGATACTTGAAACCCTTTGAGGAGGAAAGGGTAGGTGATGGCGGGAACCAAGTCAAATAGATAGACTGTTTTCATATTTTAATGCCTTAAGAAATTATTACACAATGAGTACATGAATATCTTCTCATTGTGAGATATTCAAATGATCCAGAAGTAGGTACAGCAAGAGTTGAAAGTTTCTCTTCACTTTTACTACATCTTATTTCTACTCCATTCGCCAGAGGTAACCACCGTCAAGTTAGCATGCCTCATTCCTTATTCTTTCATTGAATACACATACTGATAAATGGGCATATATACTTGTTTTTACATAAATGAGATTATTTATGCATATTCTGGAAGTTAATTTTTCACTTCCCCATGTGCCGTGGAAACCTTTCAAGTCATTAGATATAGATCTACCACGTTCTTTGTAGTGACTACATACATTCTTGGTGATTCCGATATCTACACAGGTGATCAAATACCCTGGACTCTTCCCTACCTCAGCCATTTATTCCCATGGTCATACTCTGGACCTCGGCTGTTCAATATAGTACCCACTAGCCACATGCAGTTAGTGAGCATTTGCAATGTAACTAGTCTCACCTGAGATGTGTTACAAGTATGAAACAGCAGGTTTTGAAGATTTACTGTGTAAAAATGAATGAAAAATATCTCAATATAATCAACCTTTTATAATACATATTGAAATGTTAACTATTCTAGATATATGGATTTAAATAAGATATAGTAAATTCACCTGTTTCCTTTTACTTTTTTAACATGGCTACTAGGAAATTTGGGGCCCTGGTGGTATAGTGGTTAAGTGTTTGGCTGCTAACCAAAAGGTCAGCAGTTCAAATCCACCAGCCACTCCTTGGAAACCCTATGGGGCAGTTCTACTCTGTCCTATAGGGTCACTATGAGTTGGAATCAACTCGACGGCAACAGGTAACTAGGAAATTCAAAATTATATATGTGACTCAGATTATATTTCTTTTGAACTATGCTGCCCTAGACCTTGTCATTATCAATAAATGCAGATTGTCCACTTTCTCAATTTCCTATTGTCTTTGCAGTTGTAATTAGTTAACATGAGGTCATACTGGAGTTAAAGAAGTTGAGTTTTTTAATGTGGAGACACCTAATATCTCTGTTTCTAGTATCTCCTCCATTATTTTTTTCTGTAGGACATGAATCTTATCGGTAGTCCCTAAACCAATATGAGTGGTGTCAGAAAAAGAAGAGAGAGAGAGAGACATAGAGGGAAGACAGCCACGTGAAGACAGAGCCAGAGATTGGAGTTAATGCTGCCACATGCTAACGAACACCTGAGGCTACCAGAAGCTGGAAGTGACAAGAAAGGACCTTTCCCTAGAGCCTTCAGAGACAGCACAGCCCTACCAACAACCTGAATTTGGACTTCTAGCCTCCAGAACTGTAAGACAATAAATTTCTGTTGTTTTAAGCTACATAGTTTGTAGTAATTTGTAGCAGCCCTATAATACAATCATCTTGTGGCTTCACTGTGTCTAATGAGAAATCATTTATTATTATTATCATTTCCCTATATGTAATGTGTTCTTTCCGGTATTCTCTGCTTTCAGCCAAGATCCATCTGACATCAGCAATGATATCCCTCATTCCACGTCCTCATCAGAATCAGGCCTGAACTTCTGGCAGCTCCCTGTCGATGCACTGCTGCACCTGTTCTTGAATTATCTTCAGTGAAATTTTACCTGCATGTGATATTAATGATATTGTTCACTAATTTCTGCATTCTGTTGGATCACCTTTCTTTGGAGTGGGCACAAATATGGATCTTTTCCAGTCAGCTGACATCAGATGGATCTTGGTTGAAAGCAGAGAATACCAGAAGGATGTTTACTTGTGTTTTAATGACTATGCAAAGGTATTCGACTGTGTGGATCATAACAAATTATGGATAACATTGGGAATTTCAGAACACTTAATTGTTCTCATGCAGAACCTGTACATAGACCAAGAGGCAGTCATTCAAACAGAACTAGAGGATACTGCATTGTTTAAAATCAGGAAAGGTGTGAGTCAGGATTGTATCCTTTCACCATATTTACTCAATCTGTATGCTGAGCAAATAATCTGAGAAGGTGGACTATATGAAGAAGAATGCAGCATCAGGACTGCAGGAAGACTCATTAACAACCTGCGATATGCAGATGACACAAACTTGCTTGCCGGAAAGTGAAGAGGACTTGAAACACTTACTGATGAAGATCAAAGACTACAGCCTTCAGTATGGAGTACACTTCAACGTAAAGAAAACAAAAGTCCTCACACCTGGACAAATAAGCAACATCATGATAAACGGAGAAAAGACTGAAGTTGTCAAGGATTTCATTTTACTTGGAACCACAATCAATGCCCATGGAAGCAGTAGTCAAGAAATCAAATAACATACTGCATTGGGCAAATCTGCTGCAAGAGACCTCTTTGAGGTGTTGAAAAGCAAAGATGTTACTTTGAGGACTAAGGTGTGCCTGACCCAAGCCATGGTATTTTCAGTTGCCTCACATGCATTCAAAAGCTGGACAATGAATAAGGAAGACCGAAGAAGAATTGATGCCTTTGAATGATGGCGTTGGCGAAGAATATTGAATATACTATGGACTACCAGAAGAACAAATAAATCTGTCTTAGAAGAAGTACAGCCAGGGTGCTCCTTGGAAGCAAGGATGGCGAGACTTCCGTGTACTTTGGACACATTATCAGGAGGGATCAGTCCCTGGAGAAGGACATCATGCTTGGTAAAGTAGAGGGTCAGCGAAAAAGACGACCCTCAGCAAGATGGATTGACACAGTGGCTGCAACAATGGGCTCAAGCATAACAACGATCATGAGGATGGCACAGGACCAGGCAGTGTTTCATTCTGTTGTACATAGGGTCATTATGAGTCGGAATTGACTCGATGGCACCTAACAACAACAATGTGTTCTTTGTCGTTTATCTCTATATAGGATCGCTGTGAATCAGAATTGACTCGGTAATTGCGACGGGTTGGTTTTTTTGGTTTTATATGTAATGTGTCTGGCTGCTTTTAAGTTTTCTATTTTTGGCTTTTAGCAGTTTGATTATAATGTTCCTGGATGTGGTATTCTTTGTATGTATTCTGTTTGTGGTTGCCTGAAATTCCTAGATCTGTGGATTACTGTATTTGTTTATCAGTTTTGGAAAATTTTTAACCAATATTTCCTTAAATATTTTTCCCGCTCCATTATCTTTCTCCTCTATCTGTGAGATTCTAAGTATGCATATGTAAGACTATTTGATATTTTCCCACAGGACACTGATGCTTTGTTAATTTTTTTTTTCAATCTTTTTCTCTCTGTATGCTTTAGTTTGAAGCAGCCCTGGTGGTGCAGTGGTTAAGTGCTTGGCTGCCAATCAAAAGATCAGTGGTTCAAACCCACCAGCCATTCTGTGGGAGAAAGATGTGGCAGTCTGCTGACATAAAGATTTACAGCCTTGGAAATTCTATGGGGCGGTCCTACTGTGCCCTATAGGATCACTATGAGTCAGAATCAACTCGACAGCAGTGGGTTTTTTGGATGTGCTTTAATTTAGATAATTTCTACTGCCGTGTCTTCAAATTCATTGTACCTTTCTTCTGCATTTACTAATCTTCGTTAATCCCATTCAGTGAACTTTATATTTTAAAAACTGAATTTTTTAGTTTTTGTTTTTCAGAACTTCTGTATCATTTCAGAATTTCACTAGGTGTTTATGTATTATATCCATTTTTTACTGCAGATTCTTTAACATAGTTATGCTTATTTCAAGTCCTTGTCTGCTAAATCCAACATCTGGGTTATCTCTGGAACTGTTTCCATTGACTTTTTCTCCCTGTTAACTACTGATCACAACTTTTGTTTCTTTGCACATCCAGTAGTTTTTATTACATACTGGCTATCGTAGATGATATGTTGTAGCAACTCTGGATTCTTTTATCTCCTCTGAAGAGTGTTGAGCTTTGTTCCATCAAGCAATTAAATTATTGGTAGATCACCTTGAGCCTGTGGAGACTTGGTTTGAGTCTTTTATTGGTTGGGTCAATTACATATATATATATATATATAAATATATATACGTATATATATAAATATATATACGTATATATATAAATATATATACGTATATATAAATATATATACGTATATATAAATATATATACATATATTTGCCTTTAATTCTAGGACATATCCCTTCGTCCTTTGGGTATAGTCTTCTGAGTTGTGGCCCTTCTGAGGTTCAATGAAATGCCCAAGGTTTTTACCTAGCCCCTGTAACTTGGGAAGATTTGCATTCAAAACACTATCTTCTCAGCATCAGACAGCTACTGAAATAACAGTTCAGTTCTTCCAGCTGTTGCTCATGACTGGGTTCCCTGAGGTCTCACTCCATGCATATCCACTTAGAATGTCAATCAAGGAATTAAGGGGAATTTTTACACAGATTTTGGGCCCCCCCTCACATCTCTGTCACTTCCTTTTCCAGAACCCCCTCTCAATTTCCAGTTATTCTGCTATTCCCAAACCCCCAACCTTTGAGTTTTTAGCCCAGAAAGAATACTGCTATATACTGGCACTCTGTTCCCCATGTTTCGTGCAGACTGGGTAGTACCTTCAGGGAAAAAGCTGGATAAATGTGAACTTCACCAGTATTTTTCCCTTCTTTCAAGAATTGTATCCCTTCTATGTTTGCATGATTTTGGTTGCTTTCCAGTGTCTTCACAAAATCTCTTTATTATACTTTGCCCATAGTTTATTGTTATCCACCATAGGGTCTGTCTGATATAAGGTATTCCATTATTTCTGGGAGCTGGAAGTCTTTTGTTTTGGATTATCATTCTTGAAAAATATGTAATATTCCTGGATCAACTATTTTCAAGAGATTGATGTGGAGATGAAGTCAGGGCCATTTCCCAGGAATTTTCTTTACAACACAGATGGTGTATATGATATAGTCCAGATGAGAGATGATGTTGGCTTAGAGGCTTAGATTTGGTAGTGGAGGTCATAACAAGCAGTCAGATTCCATTTTCTTAGTTTTGGATTAGCTATTTTATGGGCCAATATTTTGTTGTTAAAAAGTGTACAGACAGGCTCTAAGATGCTAAAATTATTTCTCCCCCCCTTTCAGCATTTCTCAAAGCTTTTTATAACATCAAAACAATTGCACTCATTTTTTAGCAACAGAGAAAAATATGCTTTGTTAAATTTTCTTTCCTATTTCCAAGAACAAGCTTATGGTTATCTGGTGCAAGCTACATAGACATTGCAGATTTGCAACCACATTTCTAGGTAAGCTCCTAGCTTCCTGTAATCCCCCTA